CTCATCCATTTTTGCACTAAATAGGTCAGCGATTCTCAATCAGGATTCCAAAGCCTCCTGGGGGACTTCAGGGGTCCATCAAGCAGGGCCAACATTAGACTCTCTGGGGCCCAGGGCAGAAAGCTGAAGCCCCATCGCATGCCACCCGGGGCTGAAGTCGAAGCCTGAGTAACTGTGGCATGGGGCCCCAGACAATTCCCCTGCTAGCTACCCCCTAATGCTGGCCCTGGCTTTTATATGCAGAAAACCAGTTATTGTGGCACAGGTGGGCTGTGCAGTTTTTATAGCATGTTGGGGGATGGCAAGGATCAGAAAGAAAAAGGTTGAGAACCCCTGAAACAGGCCACCCCGTTCAAAGGGTATGTCCTCCATTTTAGATTTCATATCAAATGGGAGAAAAGATTAATGTAACCAAGCATGTTTTTGTAGAGCTATTACAAATGTCCCTGATCTTGAGGTGGTAACAGAGCATGCCTGGCAATATTTTGGCCTTTCTTAATAAGGGCTGATGTTAATTTCCTCTGCTCTTCTGGTAAATGTTTAATAAAATTGGACATCTTCTCCCCTAACTGAAATCTCGCCATAACTGCTTGGTAGCTAGCTATGTGCATGTTTAAGGGTGTGGAAGAAAATGATTTTCTGCCCAGAAAATCCAATTCCACCCTGCCCTTTATCTATGGTGCTGGACGGTTTTTCTTATCTAGACTTTTTCATTGTTGCTGTTGTAACTAAAGAGTTTGACTGAGTATGCACATGAGAACAAGAAAATCCCTCCTGTGGAATTTGATATAATAATTTGTCTGTCTTTTTAAAGACTGTTGACATGAAGATGACTATTGACAAGAAGGTTTGGACCAAAAGGGACTTTGCCAGTTGCCAAAGCCCTTCCAATATAGGCAAGGAGACTATAGCCTTGGCAGTAGATCACAGAATATCATAAACTGGAGGTGAGATCCACAATTTTAAAATCCTATCAACCAATTCATAAAATTGAATTGCATCCCGAGGAAGATGATGCTGTTGCTATCCCGACATTGTCATCAGGAGATGAGCTACTGTGTATCTTTGAAGCATTATGTTGAAAGTCAACCTGTGGAGGTCCTTCCTGGTCATCCTCTTCTGAGAAGACCTGTTCTAAATGGGGGCAAGGAGAATTCTTTAACTCTCAGATCTGTACCTCACAGGTCTGAATCTCTCAGATCCACAGATTGCATTGATGATGCTCTGGCACCCAAGAGTTTGACTTCTAGTCTGCTAAGCGAAGAGGGAAGGAGCTGGCCCGTACAATCAGGATATCTAAGGAGGCATAGGTCAGTCCTGCCAATTTCCCCAGTCTGGTATCATATCCCTAAAGAATATACCGGGAATCTGGCATTACCTTGAGCATGAACACTTCACTTGGGAAAAGCCTGTCTCTTTGGCGTAATCATGGGATCTGGATCAGACTCTGATTATGGATCCGACCCCAGACCTGATATCAAAGCCATCGGTGAGATCCACAATGTAGGGATCCCAAACCCGGAAGGTGGAGAAAAGTTCTTCACTGGTGACCCTGTAGAGGTTTGAAGTGGATGTGGTAATGATTCCAGAGACCTCTCTCTGTACTTCTTCCCTTAATCTTTTGTCTGGCAGAAAATGCAATCTCTTTGGATCCAAAGAAGAGTGAAGATGTGGATGAATTTGAGATGTAACCTCCACTGCATGTTGTTGTCTTTGCCTGAACGGATCCGAAGGTCTCATCTTCAGATCTGTACTCTTGAATCCATGTTGAGGTCTTGAGTCTTTAGATTTCAGATCTGTGATTTGAAAGTGAGGAACAGTGGAGATATGCTTTAGTTTGGCCTTTCTCTTCCTCAGAACTGAGGCAGATGCTCTCAACACATTCTGCGGATCCTTAGGATGCTTGTCCAGATATGGGGCCAGAGAGGAATGTACTGTGGCTAAAGTTGGATCTGATCAATGGGACACAGTTGATTTGGAAATAGCATGTGTCTCCGAAGCCAAATCTCTTGTCTCGAATCCGGACATAGTTGGTGCCGATTCTGGTCTCTTATTCTTCTTTTTGGATCCCTTAGAGCTATCGTATTCCAAAGGTTTAGCTGAGAAGGTCTCTGTTGTAAAAGAAGAGCCTGCCGTCTATTTTCTCTCATTCCTGGCACAGGGAGTGAATATGCTGCATATCTGACAGTATGCTGGTGAAAGATTTTCAGCCAAGCATTTTTGACACTGGACATGCCTAACTGAAGATGGGAAGACCACTGTGTTACCCTGGATTTGAGGGGTGGGTGTACATCAGAATGTGATTAAGTTAATTGCAACCATATTACGTTCATTCAGCCAACATGAAAAAGCTCACACCCTTCTTAGAGAAAATCTCAGGACAGCCTCTCATACAATGAAAAGGCTTTAAATCATAGTTAAGTGGTGAAACTTTTAAAAAGGGGACCTGGTCTGGTTCCACAATCATAGAATATCAGGTTTGGAAGGGACCTCAGGAGGGACCACAGGAGCTAAGGACTCCTTGGCAAACAGAGTGCAGTAGAGGCAGAAAGTGAAAGTAGTCATGATAGTGCCTTGAGAGGGAGCAGAAGGACAGAGCTCCTTGAACTCACTCGAAAGGCAGTCTTGGAAATTGAGGAGGGAAATACCTGCTGTTTGTTTCTAGTGATTAAGGGAAACAAGACTTTGTGTATACTCTTTGTGAATAAACAGGATTGCACCAAAGAAATACCGGACTTGTGCAATCAATTCATCCTAATGGAAACAACCCATCTAAGCCCCAAAGAGGCAACAATAAAAGAAAACAGAGGAAAATAAAGAGATTTAAAACAAAAAATAAAACCATTTTAAATTAAATTTACATTTCAATTATCTAAATATGCAAATAAAAAGGCAAAAAGCAAAAACGTGCACATTTGCACACAGCAGTTTGATAATTTGGCCAAAAGTTAGGAAATGTTACCAGAATGATCCAAATATAAACTCTGGGGTGTTACGCTTCCTGTATTTTTTCAAAATGCCACCATTTTGCTTTCACTGAAGACTTTAGACTCCCAAAATCTTTGATAGTACATGATGAGACTTTCTCTTTAGGCCTATGCGAAAAACATATGCCCACCACATTAATCTTTGGATTTTGGAGAAAAGATTATATAATGAGCAACCTATTCAAAAAATTTATGAAAATATTCTCTCTTCTTAAAACCTTACCAAAGAAAAACAAAATACCTTTTGCTCATTCAGCAGGTCTGTAATGGTCTGCGACATTTCATCCAAACTTTGTGCTGCTTTTACCAGGTTATGTAGAGCAATTACATGCTGGTGAAGAGGTTCAAAGTCACAAAGTATGGGAACCCTTCAAAAACAAAGTATTTTTAAATTTTAATTTCTTCAATACTACAGTACCACAAATTCAATTTAAAATGTATAGATACAGTAAACAATCTAATCCTGATTTATTCATTTTCTTTATTTCACCAATTTTGCAGGCAATAAACTAGGGCAACAACTTTATTCCAGGTTCTTTACATTAGCAACTCCAAGCAGTTTCAACGATAGCGTTCTTTCAAATGACAAAAGAAACTATTTAGATTTGAAGTACCATTTCTAAGAAGTTTTAGGTTAAACTCCAGGTTATGTTCTGCCTCCCTCCCAGCCCCCAAAGGAGAGGTTTATGAATAATACCTAGAGTTACAATAACTCTAAGAAGTGATGAAAACTATAACTAAAGGAGATTGAATTACAATGGATTTCTCAGCTGTTTTTAAAAAGAAACGGATTGGAAAGATTTACTGTATATCAAAGTTGACAGAATTTAATATAACATTGCTAACCCATAAACATTTTCCCCATAAATATTACAATAAGACTTTGGGAAAAGATATTAATTCTTAACAGATGAACTCTCGATGCTGTATATATAAAAAGACAGGATGATGAGTTTGTTGTGATCATGATGCAAGTGTCTCGTGCCAAGCCTCAATACTTCCCCCCCTTCAAAACTTCAATCCCTTTAAATTACATATGAACAGGAAAAGTAACATTAATACTAATACAATTAAAGTTGAACTATGAATATAACAAAAAGGGATGCGGTTTATATTAAAAAATAGACCAGCCTTAAACAAAATAAAATTATTAAAACCTTAATCAAGGTTTGTGTGTGCAAAATATCATACGTTAAACGTTTTCACTGATTTTAGATTCATAATAAATGTAATATTAATTTAGCAATTCGACACCTCATTGTCTGGTATTCTTATATAAGTAATTTATTGCAGTAACAAATGGTGATCTCAAAGGAAAAATATTGACTAAAATATTGATGGACACTATTAGAAAAGATATTTTAAAGAGAATTCTGTGAGTAGATGCCTTGTTATAAAGCATGGAAGCTTTTAAGAATTTCTAACCTACCACAAACAGTGAATGCACTTAAACTGTCCTAACTACTTTAATTAATTTATTCACCCAAACTTGATCAAAACACTGCTTCCAATTTTAAGGATGTACTCTCTTCCCACTGAGGGCTGGTCTACACTAAAAAATGAGATTGACAGTCATGTTACTCAGGGGTGTAAAAAAATCACACACCTAAGCAACATATTTAAGCCAACCTCAGTCTGCAGGCAGACAAACAGAGGTAGATTGACGAAATAATTTTTCTGTTATCCTACCTACCGCCTCTCAGGGAGGTGGATTACATATGCCAACAACAGAACCCCTCCAGTTGACATAGGTAGTATGTACACTCAAGCACTAGAGAAGCACAGCTGCAGCACGGCAGCTCTACTCATTGCAGCATTTTAAGTGTAGACAAGCCTTGGGATACAAACATGTAGAGCCAATTTCAGCCTCAACCGGCCACCTAAACTCAACCCCTAGACCAGTGGTCCCAAAACTGGGGGGGGGCCACAGAGGAATGTTCAGGGGGGAAGGGGTGCAGCATGGCCTGGGCCAGCCCCCACGGAGGCGTAGGGAGGGAGCGCCACCCTGCCCTGCTCTGCCCCAAGCTGCAGCTCTGTTCTGTCCCCAGCCACAGTTCCGCCCCCAGCTCTGTCTTCAGCCCAAGTTTCACTGCTGAGCCAACTGTGCAGTAATGGCGGGGTGTGGGGGAGGGGTGGGGTATGGACAGTTTCCATTACTGGTAAGGAGATGGCCTTAGACTGACTGCCATAAATGACAATCAGGCCCTGAAGAATGTGGCTGGGGGATCCGATGACCATGTTTAATACATTTCCTATTGTCCTGTATGGGAGGGAGCTGTTTATTGCTGTCTGACCAAAATCAGTCAGGCAGAAAAGATTTGTAAAGGAGTCATGTAATCCAATGTTGAACAATCCTCGTGATTGCTCCATAAGCCCTGGTCTAAACTAGGACTTTAGGTCGAATTTAGCAGCGTTAAATCGATGTAAACCTGCACCCGTCCACACAATGAAGCCCTTTATTTCGACTTAAAGGGCTCTTAAAATCGATTTCCTTACTCCACCCCTGACAAGTGGATTAGCGCTTAAATCGACGTTGCCGGCTCGAATTTGGGGTACTGTGGACACAATTCGATGGTATTGGCCTCCGGGAGCTATCCCAGAGTGCTCCATTATGACCGCTCTGGACAGCACTCAACTCAGATGCACTGGCCAGGTAGACAGGAAAAGAACCGCGAACTTTTGAATCTCATTTCCTATTTGGCCAGCGTGGCAAGCTGCAGGTGACCATGCAGAGCTCATCAGCACAGGTGACCATGATGGAGTCCCAGAATCGCAAAAGAGCTCCAGCATGGACCGAACGGGAGGTACGGGATCTGATCGCTGTTTGGGGAGAGGAATCCGTGCTATCAGAACTCCGTTCCAGTTTTCGAAATGCCAAAACCTTTCTGAAAATCTCCCAGGGCATGAAGGACAGAGGCCATAACAGGGACCCGAAGCAGTGCCGCGTGAAACTGAAGGAGCTGAGGCAAGCCTACCAGAAAACCAGAGAGGCGAACAGCCGCTCTGGGTCAGAGCCCCAAACATGCCGCTTCTATGATGAGCTGCATGCCATTTTAGGGGGTTCAGCCACCACTACCCCAGCCGTGTTGTTTGACTCCTTCAATGGAGATGGAGGCAATACGGAAGTAGGTTTTGGGGACGAAGAAGATGATGATGAGGAGGTTGTAGATAGCTCACAGCAAGCAAGCGGAGAAACCGGTTTTCCCGACAGCCAGGAACTGTTTCTCACCCTAGACCTGGAGCCAGTACCCCCGAACCCACCCAAGGCTGCCTCCTGGACTCAGCAGGCGGAGAAGGGACCTCTGGTGAGTGTACCTTTTAAAATGCTATACATGGTTTAAAAGCAAGCATGTGAAAGGATTACTTTGCCCTGGCATTTGCGGTTCTGCCTTTGCAAAAGGTTTCTGGGGAGGGCAGCCTTATTTCGTCCTTCATGGTAGGACACTTTACCACTCCAGGCCAGTAACACGTACTCGGGAATCACTGTAGAACAAAGCATTGCAGTGTATGTTTGCTGGCATTCAACCAAAATCCGTTCACGCGGTGGGAGGAGGCAAAATGCGACCTTGTAACGAAAGCACATGTGCTATGTATGTAATGTTAACAGCAAGGTTTACCCTGAAAGAGTGTAGCGACTGTTTTATAAAATGTGTCTTTTTAAATACCGCTGTCCCTTTTTTTTTCTCCACCAGCTGCATGTGTTTCAATGATCACAGGATCTTCTCCTTCCCAGAGGCTAGTGAAGCTTAGAAAGAAAAAAAACCGCACTCGCGATGAAATGTTCTCCGACCTCATGCTGTCCTCCCACACTGACAGAGCACAGACGAATGCGTGGAGGCAAATAATGTCAGAGTGCAGGAAAGCACAAAATGACCGGGAGGAGAGGTGGAGGGCTGAAGAGAGTAAGTGGCGGGCTGAAGACAGGGCTGAAGCTCAAATGTGGCGGCAGCGTGATGAGAGGAGGCAGGATTCAATGCTGAGGCTGCTGCAGGACCAAACCAGTATGCTCCAGTGTATGGTTGAGCTGCAGCAAAGGCAGCTGGAGCACAGACTGCCACTGCAGCCCCTCTGTAACCAACAGCCCTCCTCCCCAAGTTCCATAGCCTCCACACCCAGACGCCCAAGAACGCGGTGGGGGGGCCTCCGGCCAACCAGCCACTCCACCACAGAGGATTGCCCAAAAAAAAGAAGGCTGTCATTCAATAAATTTTAAAGTTGTAAACTTTTAAAGTGCTGTGCTTAAAGTGCTGTGTGGCATTTTCCTTCCCTCCTCCACCACCCCTCCTGGGATACCTTGGTAGTCATCCCCCTATTTGTGTGATGAATGAATAACGAATGCATGACTGTGAAGCAGCAATAACTTTATTGGCTCTGCAAGCAATGATTAAAGGGAGGAGGGGAGGGTGGTTAGCTTACAGGGAAGTAGAGTGAACCAAGGGGCGGGGGGTTCATCAAGGAGAAACAAACAGAACTTTCACACCGTAGCCTGGCCAGTCATGAAACTGGTTTTCAAAGCTTCTCTGATGCGTACCGCGCCCTCCTGTGCTCTTCTAACCGCCCTGGTGTCTGGCTGCGCGTAACCAGCAGCTAGGCGATTTGCCTCAACCTCCCACCCCGCCATAAACGTCTCCCCCTTACTCTCACAGATATTGTGGAGCACACAGCAAGCAGTAATAACAGTGGGAATATTGGTTTCGCTGAGGTCTAAGCGAGTCAGTAAACTGCGCCAGCGCGCCTTTAAACGTCCAAACGCACATTCTACCACCATTCTGCACTTGCTCAGCCTGTAGTTGAACAGCTCCTGACCACTGTCCAGGCTGCCTGTGTATGGCTTCATGAGCCATGGCATTAAGGGGTAGGCTGGGTCCCCAAGGATACATATAGGCATTTCAACATCCCCAACAGTTATTTTCTGGTCTGGGAAGAAAGTCCCTTCCTGCAGCTTTTGAAACAGACCAGAGTTCCTGAAGATGCGAGCATCATGCACCTTTCCCGGCCATCCCACGTTGATGTTGGTGAAACGTCCCTTGTGATCCACCAGAGCTTGCAGCACTATCGAAAAGTACCCCTTGCGGTTTATGTACTCGGCGGCTTGGTGCTCCGGTGCCAAGATAGGGATATGGGTTCCATCTATAGCCCCACCACAGTTAGGGAATCCCATTGCAGCAAAGCCATCCACTATGACCTGCATATTTCCCAGGGTCACTACCCTTGATATCAGCAGATCTTTGATTGCGTGGGCTACTTGCATCACAGCAGCCCCCACAGTAGATTTGCCCACTCCAAATTGATTCCCAACTGACCGGTAGCTGTCTGGCGTTGCAAGCTTCCACAGGGCTATCGCCACTCGCTTCTCAACTGTGAGGGCTGCTCTCATCTTGGTATTCATGCGCTTCAGGGCAGGGGAAAGCAAGTCACAAAGTTCCATGAAAGTGCCCTTACGCATGCGAAAGTTTCATAGCCACTGGGAATCGTCCCAGACCTGCAACACTATGCGGTCCCACCAGTCTGTGCTTGTTTCCCGAGCCCAGAATCGGCGTTCCACAGCATGAACCTGCCCCATTAGCACCATGATGCATGCATTGTCTGGGCCCATGCTTTCAGAGAAATCTGTGTCCATGTCCTGATCACTCACGGGACCGCGCTGACGTCGCCTCCTCGCCCGGTATCGCGTTGCCATGTTCTGGTGCTGCATATACTGCTGGATAATGCGTGTGGTGTTTAATGTGCTCCTAATTGCCAAAGTGAGCTGAGCGGCCTCCATGCTTGCCTTGGTATGGCGTCCGCACAGAAAAAAGGCGCGGAACGATTGTCTGCCGTTGCTCTGACGGAGGGAGGGGCGACTGACGACACGGCTTACAGGGTTGGCTTCAGGGAGCTAAAATCAACAAAGGGGGTGCCTGTACATCAAGGAGTATTTCAGGCAGGACTGCACGGAGGGTTCCAATAAGAAATGGTGCACCTAAGTTATTGTCCTTATTGGAACAAGAAGGTTAGCCTGGCCTCTGATTGATACATGGCTAGATTTACCTCGCTGCACCTTCTCTGTGAGTGACTGCAGTGTGACCTAGAGGAATGAGTCCCCTAGACAGGGGAGGAGGCAAATGAGTACAAAACAAATCTGGTCTATTTCTTGTTTTGACCCACTCCATCTATCTTTTACATCTTTGGCTGGCAGCAGACGGTGCAGAAGGACTGCATGCCATCCACATCTCATGGCTGCTCGGCAGAAGATGGTACAGTACGACTGCTAGCCATCCCCATCTCTTGCCTGCCTGGCAGAAGATGGTGCAATACGACTGCTAGCAATCCTCATCTCTTGCCTGCCTGGCAGAAGATGGTACAGTACGACTGCTAGCAGTCCGTATCGCCTGCCCGCTCACCATAAGACGGTTCAATAGGACTGACTGCAGGACTAAAGAGAATGACCTGGTCAAGTCACTCCAAATTTAGTCCCTGCGCCCATGTCTGCCCAGGCGCTCCCAGCCGACGTGGCCAGGAGCACCTCGGACACGACGAGGACGACTACCAATCGTATTGCACCGTCTGCTGCCAGAAGGCAATGGGTTGCTGCTACTGTGCAGCAAAGCCGTACCGCGTCTGCCAGCACCCAGGAGACATAGGGTGACGGTTACCTGAGCGGGCTCCATGCTTGCTGTGGTATGGCGTCTGCACAGGTAACTCAGGAAAAAAGGCGCGAAATGATTGTCTGCCCTTGCTTTCACGGAGGGAGGGAGGGAACGGGGGCCTGACGACACGTACCCAGAACCACCTGCGACAATGTTTTAGCCCCATCAGAGTGCTCCATTGTGACTGCTCTGGACAGCACTCTCAGACGCCCGATTGTTTGCCATTGCTCTGACGCTGGGAGGGGCGCTTACAGGGTTGGCTTCAGGGAGCTAAAATCAACAAAGGGGGTGGCTTTACATCAAGGAGTATTTCAGGCAGGACTTCACGGAGGGTTCCAATAAGAAATGGTGCACCTAAGTTATTGTCCTTATTGGAACAAGAAGGTTAGCCTGGCCTCTGATTGATACATGGCTAGATTTACCTCGCTGCACCTTCTCTGTAAGTGACTGCAGTGTGATCTAGAAGAATGAGTCCCCTAGACAGGGGAGGGGGGGAAGCAAATGAGTACAAAACAAATCTGGTCTATTTCTTGTTTTGATCCACTCCATCTATCTTTTACATCTTTGGCTGGCAGCAGACGGTGCAGAAGGACTGCATGCCATCCACATCTCATGGCTGCTCGGCAGAAGATGGTACAGTACGACTGCTAGCAGTCCGTATCGCCTGCCCACTCACCATAAAACGGTTCAATAGGACTGACTGCAGGACTAAAGAGAATGACCTGGTCAAGTCACTCCAAATTTAGTCCCTGTGCCCATGTCTGCCCAGGCGCTCCTGATCGACCTCACAGAGGCGACCAGGAGCACCTCAGACATGACGATGACGGCTACCAGTCGTACTGTACCGTCTGCTGCCACAAGGCAAGGGGTTGCTGCTACTGTGTAGCAATGCCGTACCGCATCTGCCAGCACCCAGGAGACATAGGGTGACGGTTACCTGAGCGGGCTCCATGCTTGCCATGGTATGGCGTCTGCACAGGTAACTCAGGAAAAAAGGCGCGAAATGATTGTCTGCCCTTGCTTTCACGGGGGGAGGGAGGGAACGGGGGGCTGACGATATGTACCCAGAACCACCCGTGACAATGTTTTAGCCCCATCAGGCATTGGGATCTCAACCCAGAATTCCAATGGGCAGCGGAGACTGCGGGAACTGTGGGATAGCTACCCACTGTGCAATGCTCCGGAAGTCGACGCTTGCCTCGGTACTGTGGAAACGCTCCACCGAGTTAATGCACTTAATGCACTTAGAGCATTTTCTGTGGGGACACACACACTCGAATATATAAAACCGATTTCTAAAAAACCGACTTCTATAAATTCGACCTAATTTCGTAGTGTAGACATACCCTAAGAGAGCTACAGTTGTGAGAGAAGAGAGGCCCCACAGGCCTGATTTGTCCTTTTCAACCACAAAAGCCAAATGCTAATTGCAGAGAAAAGAAGAGCTGATCAAGGTAACTCTGTCAAGCAGCTCACTACCGCTCCAATTTCAAGCTATTGGCCCAGTGTTTTTATACATTTTGTACACTGTCTATGTATTAAAAGGTCTAATCTTTCTTTGATACAACAGGCATAGAACTCCTGTTAATATTATGTGAATTAAGGGGAGGAAAAAATATAAATACAAACCTCTTTAAACAGGACAGTTTCAATGCCATTATACAGAAACAATGAACTGCACTGTACCCTTTTATCTGTCAGGTACTCTCTCACATTTAGGAATAAAGCTGCACCCTACTTAAATGACATCCAGCATCTCCTCTCCATCTTCTGGCATAGCCAGACAATGCTACCAAAATTTTTTTTTAAATGTTTTATCTTTGTTTTGCTTTTTCATAATGGAGGTTTTGTGTACGTGTTTGTTTTTTGTTCTGTATTTTGCATTCACTAAGCCACTTACCTGAGTAATGGTTGCACTTCTGAAGGACAAAAAGACTGCAGAAACTGCAAGTCAGTTAATGAGATATCTGGAAGTTCACTGTCAAACCTGCGAGGCTTTCGTGTCTGTATAAAAGAGAAAATTTGCACAGTGATGAAATGATGAGTACAGTCAAAATGACGAAGGTAAGATTAAAAAGGAAAATAGTGAACAACATATTAATAGAGAACTGATTTTTTAAAAATCTGTAGGATCTCAAAAGTTTTTATTCTTTTAATAGAAAGCTTAGTCTCAGTTTTATTAAAAAGTCTACATGCACATATATTCATTAACCCTCTCTATGATGTTGTGAGTAGCAATTCCTCCTTCTTACTAAGTTTTTTGAATCATAAATGTGATGTGGGGGGGAAGAGAAGGGAGAGCAGAGGCTTGAAAATTAGTGTACTGCTAAACAAACAGCTAAATATTAGTTTAACTGAGGAGTTATAATATTAAAACAGGGGGAATCCTTTATCTGACTATGTATGGTACTATTCTAAAATGCCAAGGAGCAAAATACTGAAAAAGCACTTTATGGGACAGAAAGTCAAAAATATAATGACATGAGCAACATTTCATAATTATCAGAAACATGGAGACATACCATTGTTAGAGTCAAACAAGTTGAATCAAAT